AACGTATGAGCAAATTAATAACACAAATCTGAGAAAAAAATAGACCATCGTACATATAAACTTAGCCAGGTAGCACCCAAGCTTACTGCCACGAAGCCAGAGTTAAAGGCCACTGTGCCAATTCTGCCAGGATCGAAATGTCAACCCAAAACACCCAACAGTAATCGAGAATTTCATCGCTTCCTGTGTGGGATCTTAACATACCCAAAATATCACAATTCATGTAACACCGGATAATTTTACTTACAAACACCAACAGTATAATTCTATATATTTATAGATAGGGACATATATGGATAGGTAGGGAAAGCACATCAGTCAATCTTACAAATACAAAACCATTCACAAAGTACATGAAGCCGTCATTTAATACATACAAGAATTATTCTTGGTATTAGTAAAATACCTCAGTGTTAAACGCGTCCTTCACCATGCACCAACGTGAAGACGCAATTAGTAAGAAGTGAAGGTGAAAATTACTTACGCCACACACGCCACAGCAAGGTTAGAAATGATATAACGAGATTGATATAGAGAACATTTAATTCTTCACACAATTGTTTGTAAAATATACAGGGAATGAAAATGGCCAGGGAAATAAAGGATTATATAATAACTTAAGCTTGGTATATTTACTGACAGCCTATAGCTAATTAACGGATGCGGACGACGGTCTGGTAACTGTATGTCATGATAAATGTCGCGTCTTGACGAGTGGTGAAATAATACAGTGCCAGGCAGTGTTGGACGCCCAGGTGAATGGAGTGTTGTTATTACCTTGTCAACTGTGTCATGTATTTCCCTTGCTATCTGTATACTCGTCAAGGACCGAAAAGTCCAGTGTGTCATTAATACATTTGCTCTTAAGTTGCGGTTATTCTTTGTACTAATTATACAATTGGAAAATGATTGAAGCTATATGCCCTATCATATAATCGAACTATTAGCAAATTCAACAGTTTTCGTATCAGTTAGAAAGTGGTGGTCAGTTTCGATCAAAAATTCATGAAGGCACATTCTCCAAAATAAGACAACAATTCCTTTTCAATCACTACATAATCCAATGTCATTTCCAATCGATTGTGTAGGTCAATGACATATCTCTCGCAGGATGATCATTGGATCTACCATTGTTCTTCAATATAGCAGCTCAAGCACAGAGAATCCTAAGTTTTTAGACCTTCGCTGTAGGCAAACAATACAGGGGATATGTAACAGTGCCAGTCATTTGAACATGGTCATCATTACTATATTCACATAAGATGTGATCTGGCATTGTAATGATTCATTCAATAGACAAGTGATTGGCCAGTGCGAACATGTGTGGTTTTACCCCCGTTACTATACATTGTCATAGAGTCTCAGCTACCACCCCAGTCATGCTAGTAGTGGGTTGCATAACCAACCACTGTATGTAAGTATGTAAGCTGACGCCATGTGGATCATTGGGTATCTGGATGGCACATAAAAGGGTCGTGAGAGTGTCGGTTTTCAAGCAAAATTAAAATTACTTATTTTTCACAGACAATTACATATTCGTTCCATTACCACTGTTGACATTCGCAGTAGTGTGAATACGGCTCTTGCAAAAACAAATGAATAATAAATAACCGTACTCCTGGGTTTATTTTCCAGAGAGTTGAGTATCTTCATAAAGCATGAAACAGAAAATAATGTATTACGTAGAAATATTTGTGTTAATGAATACTTAATGTAGGCTTTTGCACACATCTATCAGTATGACAAAAAAATTATAAAATACAGTATACGTCTATTAAATATGCAAAATAATAATTTATTATATAAATATAAATATAAATATAGGCGTCTTACATACTCTACATATGCTAGATTATACGAGTTCATACTCTCATATCGGTCACTAAATTGACGTTTAGTTTCATCGCACATATGTTCCCAATTATAGCCCACAAATGACCTCTTTATCATACGAACAACTGCATCCTCACGAAAATTGCAATCTGACCACGAGAAACAGGACGAACTGAAAAGTATCAGCTGAAACCTTTGAGAGCGACAAAGAGCACAGTACACATATTCCAGGACGCGAAGAATTTAATGTGGAGAATAATGTCGAACACCAAACGAATTGCTTTACCGAATTATAGACTCAGAGCATATCTAGTAGTAGCAAAAGTTGAATATTTTCTTGCAAAGAAGTTAATTAATTTGATTCTTTAATGTTAAATTGCGAACAATTTTGAATGTGCACACAACTTTAATATCCACATTTGGGGAGTATTGCTTTGCTATGAACGTTTTATAGTAACTTTAAGGTAGCGAGACTATTATTTGTGTTGAAAATTACGATTTTCACATTTATTTATTAATTGATGAAATGCACTATAAACTTTCAAATGATAAAGTCAACATAACATAGAATGTCATGTAAGTTGGTTAAAATGTATATTTTCTGAAGGAAAGCAAGGCAGCCTCAGTAGTGTTTTCCAAAATCAACAATACAGGTTTAATCTGTGTGCCTATAAGTTTCAAAGATAAACTCAAGACAAAGCAATGTTAGGATGTGTTATCAGTAGCTATCTGACACACAATGAGTGTTTCCAAAAATTCGAGTGGGTTGTCTCCGCCCCTGTTTGTTTCACAGATTAGTCATTTGCATATGAATGTGTCAGACAGAGGTCACACAGCCACTGAAAAAAATCATTGATCTTGGTGTTTTCATATGCCGAATTTATCCAATTATAGCTAT